GCTTCGTGAGGTCTTGATGTGAGAGATGATCCTGCTGGCCTGCTCCTCATCTCTGAACCTCTTCCTGAAGTACTCCTCCTTCTGGGGGTCGGTGAACCCTCTGACCTCTGTCACCATGCCGACACACTCAGAAGGGATCTGATTGGCTGCTGCAGGTCGTGTGGTGATCCAGAGGCGAGCAGGGGGAAGCAGCTTTCCCCTGATGAGGTTTGTGAGGAGCACATCCACTGAGGCCGACTCTGTGACATCAGTCAGGATCTCATTGTTGTGGAAGTTCAGAGGAAGTCGACACTCATCCAGACCGTCAAAGATGATCATTACCTGGAACTCTTCAAACCTGCAGATTCCTGCTGCTCTGGTTTCACTGCAGAAGTGATGAACAAGTTCTACCAAGCTGAACTTCTTCTCTCTCTGCACATTCAGCTCTCTGTGTGTGAACTGTATGTCCTGGTGGTCTTTGTCTACAACCCAGTCCAGAGTGAACTTCTGTGTTAAGACTGTTTTCCCAATGCCAGCCACTCCCTTAGTCATCACTGTTCTGATTGGTTCCTCTCCTCCAGCTGAGGCTTTGAGGAGGTCTTCTAGTCTGATGGTTGTTTCTGGTCTGTCTGGTTTACAGGATGCTGTTTCAGTCGGTCTGACCTCATGTTCTTCATTGACCTCTGCAGTCCCGCCCTCTGTGATGTAGAGCTCTGTGTAGATCTCATTCAGAAGGGTTGTCTTTCCTGCTTCAGCGATCACCCCAAACACACGCTGGAACTTCTTCAGGTTGGATTTGAGTTCACGTTGACAGTTGGTGATATTCTCTGAATGACAGAAAAAGACACAGACCAGATAGTGCTTTACTTTAATGGTGTAATATTTCCCTTGGATTAAGCTATTGGTTGTATTTTTCTGCATTCCTATCTGAAGCCCCCCAGAATACTGACAGTGAAAACTTGACAATCGAGAACTTTGACCACGGAAATAATTGAAGCGTGCAATAATTAGATGGTGGTACAAAAGTCTCTTCACCTTGACCTCCATCTTCTCCCACAGGATTCGGTTCGCCTGAAACAAGATGTTTTCTGTGTTTACTTTGTGCATTTGTAGCACATAGCTGGTATATTTAGCCTGTGCTCAAATAAAAATATATACTTAATAGTGGAATAGTTTCGCTTAATGAGTGAACACCAATTATGAGACTCAATTTTTTAGTTTGGTTTTTCATCCCTAATCCAAGGGTGGTGCCCCGCTATTATTAACATTTGTTAAGAATCGTATTGACGTTAATAATTTCATCAATGTCGGTCATTTAGGGAGGAGCTTCAGAAGAGCTCCACCCTCCTGGGATGAGGAGGATTTATGAAGCCCATTCCTCATCTTTACTCCTGTTCTATCTTTATTATATACATCTGATGTCTTTGTTCCTCTTTTTAACAACTTACCCGTCGGGGTAATTTGGGGTAATCTTTCGAGCAGATCCATTCTTGGAATCTTTTCCAAAACCTCTCTGGCCACCTTAAAAACGTCTGGGCCGTAGTACTTCTCCATCAGGTCCACTGTGTCCATCCTGTCTGCCTCCTCCCGGTGAGCGGCTGGGATTTTTTTGAGGTGCCACTTGAACCGTTTGAACTCCGCGGCGACGAGACACTCGAACGTGCTGCAGAGGTCCTCCCTGACTTTCTCCATCTGTCATTTTTAAAGACACCAAATAAATATCAATCGTAGAGAACAATTACTACTCTGGATTTCAAAAACATAAAGCAGCGTGTTTTAAAGATGGAGTTATATTAGTTCATTGGTTTGGATTCACGATCAAATAGAATTCTTCTCCCTCTTTCTAAGCACCTCTGATGAAGTCAGCGTCCTCTTGGTGGACACAAGTTGGATGAATCTGTGAATATTGGGAAAATGTGAAGGTGGTTCACAGCTTCACCTGCAACAACAGAAATGCCGTGTCATTTGCATTCATCAAACAAAATCAATTCATAGTCTAAATAATAGTACAGTGTAAGTACATCAAGTTGGAACAAAAGACACAATGTTTCACCCTGGAGACCAACGTTTGTGTCTGGAAGAATTTGTACTTGGTTCTTGATCTGAACCCTCTTGATTGAAAGCCCTTATTGTAAGTCGCTTTGGATAAAAGCGTCAGCTAAAAGCTAACTTTAAATGTCTCTGTCATCCACGCACATGGCGTCTCCTACCATCGCTGAACTGGTGACACCCAATCTCTGCCTGCTTGACCGACATGTCTTAGTGGACGGCTGCACACCACCTGACCATGAACCTCGGCGAGACTGAACTTCTTCTCCTTCCGGGGAAAGACTCTCCCGCCAGCGACCTGACCTTTGACAACTCCCTGCTGACCCCCCCTGACTGCGAGGAACGTCAGTGTGACACTCAACTTTACCTCACTGCCAACGTTACAGCAACAACGCGTCCCTGTAGAGTCATGCTGCACAACATCAGGACAAAACGTCCCCTTCTCACGCCTTGACTGTTGTCCAGTCGACACCCGGGACCTGGTCTAACCTCACGTCCTGTCGCTCTGCTTGTTGCTCCCTCACTGAGGGCTAAACACCCAACAACACGCTCCACAATGACATCAGGACCCCACAAAGCCTCAACAGCCCAAAACACACGTCTATCCACTGTACGTGGACTAGTTAGCACCTCGAACCACTACACCTACACTAGGTACCACACATGTATACACACATTACATAACAAGAGACAGAGAGAGTTTACACACGTTAGTTTGTGTGTAACCGAGAGACGCACCGATCCGACACAACAGGTCATCAGACCGGCTGCTGGTCCGCCTGAAGCCGCGCTGGAAGCCGCGGTCACCCGGACCCGAGGAGTCGGTGAATCTCGAGCTGTGTGCGGCGACGGATGATGTCACGAACCCGAACGCAACACCGATCGCGGTTCCGACGTTTGTGTGATTCACGCAACTAATAAAGAGCAGAGATTGCGGTTATTTATCGGCACGGTGGAAACGATAACTGTCGATTACGGAGACGCGTAACGGAGAAAAGCCCCGATTCGTCAGGTTGATGCGCGCGCGTAAATCAAACATCCCCGTCTCGCGCGAGATACTTGCTCCCTCGCGAAACGTGACGTCAGTCTCTGCTCGCGCTCGAAGGTGTTTTCTACGCGCACGCTGTGGGGGGGGCGGAGCCAGTCAGCATGGTGTCTGCATCTGATTGGTTACAAACCGCGTCTTTGGATTGGCTGGAGCGATGCGTCCGCACACCTATAGAAGCCCATTTCCGCACTACGGAAAGGCGATAGAAAGTCGAAATTATGAGATAAAACGGTGTCAAAAAACAAACGCCCCCCTTCGGCGATCGCGAGCGAGGAAGTTCACGTTTCGCGAGGGAGCAAATATCTCGCGCGAGACGGACTTTTGCTCGCGCATCAACCTGATTTGCGATCTCAACACAAAATGACGGTGCCGCGCAGGATTCTCCCCCCCCACTGCAAGATTATGTCTTTATATTAATTGATTAAAGTTTCTTCTAATGATACCCTGGTAGATGCATCACAGACCAAGTTGTAGCATACAAAACGACTATTTGATGACGTTGACTCTTACTGTGAAAAGGGCTCCGTACTTCCGGTTTACCTGCCGCGCTTCTGTTTCGTTTTAGAGAAAACAAAAAAGCAATTTACGAATGCCAGAATCGGTGATTTCCTCGTTTTGGAATTAGAGCAAGAACAAAGCAAACATGCGTTTCCGTTTTTAAACGGTGGTATTTCCGTTTTTCCTTTTATTTCCGCATTTATCGTCTAAACTGTAAAAGGACCTTTGGAAATGTTCACGGACCGATAACACACAAACACACACTAAACACACACTGTATATAACGGGACATACTCACGGGATCTGAACGCTTTAAGATGTGTTGTGTTCAAAATGAACACAAAGTTCGAAAAGTTATAATGAAAAAAATAAGGTGTCAGCTGAGGAGCCTGAGTGTGCCAGGATGGTGTCCTGGTGAGTTCAATGTAACTCGGATTTTGAATGTCTCTCAGTCAATATCAGTTGTGGTGCTATCAAGTATTACATTTCAGTTGATTACGTTACATTGATTACAATCATAGCGGTATATTAGTATTATTCTATTTATTAGTTTCAAAATTACAGTGGTTTTCCAATATTCTCATTACTTTATTGATTACACAGTTCCAGAATCATGGCTGTATTCTGGTGTACACTAAATGCATTTTATTCATTTATGAACCGGGTCGTCAGTTTATTTATAATATGCTGATTTTCTAACAATCTCCCTACATTGTCTTACTATCGGAATCCGCTAAGTAACTAGTATCTAGAGATTTAAAGTACACATTAGTAAATCTGGTGGAGTAGATAATAAAAAATAATAAATATTTTGTTATTTTTTGTTCAGTCCGATAGAAGTCAACCAACCAAACGTGGTTGTCAGCAGTAGAAACATACATATATACATTTTTATTTATATATGTACGTCGATTGACCTGATGTCTGACTGTGAAGCACAGGGAACGTATCCAAACATCCGCTCTCTATGAAACGATTGTCTCGCCTTTTTCCTGTAAACAAACTCTGAGCAACGAGCCAATTCAAACCAGAAAGAACGAGTTTTTGATTCATGTCGTGTTTGACAGCTTCCCTATGATTAATGGCTCTGTTGGGCTCGTGCTGTGTGTGTGTGTGTGTGTGTGTGTGTGTGTTTATTTGCATATCAAGGATGTGAGAGAGTGACAAAGATGTCATGCAGATCGTTAACGTGCAGCCGTGAATGAAACGCGTCATGTTTTCATTCTGTTAACGTTAACGTGCCGCTCTCAGAAGCAAAAGGAGGCGGAAGCTCGCTCTCCATGATGTGAGTCAGGAATGAGAGCTGCTGCGGTCCTTGTGTCCATGAAAAAAAGGCCTTTACAGAGCGCCTTCTTTAAAAAAGCGGAGGTTGGGGGTGAGGGGGGAGGGGCTTGACCATACATAAGAGGCAAAGACTGGTCCAATTTGGCAAAACATCACCGGACAATTCGCTGGAGCTCAACCTACACGAGGAAGCCGATTGGATCTTGTCAACAATAAACCTCTTGTTTATTTGTGGCGGGGAGGAAAAAAAGCCTCGTAAGCGATGAGTCTACTCAGAACTTTATCCTGCATGTTGTCGGGCGGGGACAACGCGACCGGGGGCCAGGCGCAGGGCTTGGTCCTGCAGCCCGCCTGGGACTACCTCCGCCAGAACCACCACGACCTCCTGAGTAGCCCTCTGTTCCCCGTGGTCCTGTCCGTCACCACCTACTTCCTCCTGGTCGGGGTCTACACCCTGCTCGACCTGCTGGCGCCCACCTGGCCCTGCATCAGCCGCTACCGCCTCCGTCCCGAGGGAGCCGTCACCTGGCCCAACATCTGGACCACGCTGGGGGTCACCGTCCGCAACCATCTGCTCTACATCTTTCCCGCCACGGTTGCCCAGTGGCTGTGGAGGCCGCCCACCCCGCTGCCCGTCGAGGCGCCCACTCTCTGGAGCTTCTTCCTGGGCGTCCTGGGCTGCACGGTGGTCTTTGACTTCCAGTATTACCTGTGGCACCTGCTGCACCACCGGGTGCCGTGGCTGTACCGCACGTTCCACGCCGTGCACCACCAGTACAACCAGCCCTTCAGCCTCGTCACCCAGTACCTGTCCGGCTGGGAGCTGTTCAACGTGGGCTTCTGGGCCACGGTGGACCCCGTCCTGCTCCGGTGCCACTGCCTCACCACGTGGGGCTTCATGGTCTTCAACATCTACATCTCCACCGAGGACCACTGCGGCTACGACTTCCCGTGGGCCACGCACAAACTGGTGCCCCTCGGCCTGTGGGGCGGCGCGCCGATGCACGACGCTCACCACCAGCGGCCCGGCACCAACTTCGCCCCGTTCTTCTCCCACTGGGACCGGCTGGGGGGGACCCACAGCGCGCCCACCGCCTGCGGCCGCTGAAGAGCGGCGAATCTCCCGTTGACTCGCAGCCCCTTTCGGTCGACCGCTCTGCCTCCGTCACCACAGCAGCTCCTCCTTCCCCCGTGTCTGACCTTGCTGTCTTTTTGACCTTTCCCGCGTGGATGTGTTGTCTCTCTAGTTCTCAGCTCAGGAGGCGATCGTCCGTCTGGAGCTGCAGAGAAGATTCACCTTGTTTGTGTGTGCGTTCTGTACGCCGATGGTTCATCCGTCTCTTATTCATAAAGATGTGGTCGGTTCTCTCAGGTCCGTCGACGGACATGACTAACACGTGTTTCGTTCTAGTTCTTATCGGAGTCTTTAGCAGGTGGGAGGCGGTGTGATTACACACAAACGCTAGCAGGGACGGCGTCCCTCTCCCCCTCCTCGGCTCTGATCCTTCGCTCACACGCATGAATGGCGGCCTTTTAGCTGCACGCCAGTACGACGCGTGGGAGCAATACTAATCCACCGCTCTTTGAGATGCTCCCAGTGGAGGAGTTCCCCCAAAAAAACTCTGCCCAAAGGACAATGAGCTTTGTGATTATGTCTTCGCCTTCACAGCAGCAGGTGTTATTACGAGAAGGGAAAGATTTCTCATTCATGCCAATAAATCGGAATGTAGAGGAAATAATGTTGGAATAAAATACACACGCTCATGAAACACTGACTGGCCAATCTTTGTAGAGACGCGCGTTTGCATTTCAGAAAGCGAACCAGCAGAGGTCGCCATTTTCCTCCAGATGCAGGAGGAACATCTCGAGCAAACACAGACGCTTCTAGAAGACTTGAACGTGATACTGGTTCTTCTCAAGCAGGACCTTGGACCCTTTGCGCAGTAGAATATCCGCTGATATGACCCCAGTGACACAGTGTTACTGCTGAGCGGGGGAGGCCGGTGATCACCTGCGTGACTCTTGTCTCCTGTTTCCATTTTCTTTATGTCAACACCAGCAGCCAGAACCGGTCCCACTGGTTTGTGTGTAACAGAGATATGCACGGTTGTAACAAGACGAGCTCACGTTAGTCTGGTACCAGGTTCTGTGGTAGCGTAGAAATAAACAGACGTCATTCCCACAAATGTTCAAGAATTACATTTAAATGTCAAGTGAAGCCATTTCTGCCACACAGTTATTCCTCAATATCTGGAAAAGGGTTATTGCTCAATGGGAATCTTGTAGTCACAAGTGTGTCACAATGGACGAGAACCTTGAAGCGCCGCACACGTTGCTGCGTGGAAACACACAACACAAACCGCGCATAAGTAACTCCACCCGTGCCCTTTTATTTCCCCAATGATAAAGTCATGCACCCTGCTGTGAAGCGCTCGCGACGTGCATCATTTGATGAACGTCGCACAGGACAGAAACAGCCTGCAGTAACAGTGGGTCATGTGGACAAACCTAACTGGTTATCGATTAAAGACACTGAGGCCCGTCGGGCCGCCTGGTGAGCGCTCACGTTCATCCCAACATGTTGCTTCTCCGCACACTGTGTGGCGCGTCGCCGCAACTGGTACGTGTTTGAATGTTGGCACGTAAAACAGGGGCGGAAGCTTCAGAGCGAGTTCCTGATTCACCCAAACCACGTGTCCCCCCCCACAAATCAACCAATGTTTCTGTGGTAAAGTCTTTTGAAAGGACTCTTTTCCTTATCTTTGTTCAATAAAAGTATTCCATAAACGTGTATAAACCCATCAGTTCCTCCTGCGGCGGCTTTGTTTACACGGCGTTGCTGTGACAACGCGGCGCGGCCGGGGGAGCGGCTCCGGCCTCCACTCGTGAAAAAGAAGGCATTCGCCCCGGAGACAAAAGGGTAAGACGACACTCACGGCGGCAATCATTTACCTCAGCCGGTCATTACACATAAAGATACCACCGAGTGGGGGGGGGGGGGGGCAGCTTGAAACATGCGTCCAATCTCGATGAGCAGGACGAGGACCATTCACTTTGTTTCACAATGACCCTTTGTTGGCAGTTGGTTGTTGGTTTGACTGTGAGCCAGGAATGTTATCTGCCGTTATTAAGACACTGAAACCGTCCTCACAACAAGCCTGGTCCTGCTCAGAGACGTCCCCAGGCCCCCGGCACTCCCGTGGAAATGTGTGAGGGATTTCACTTGGAGCCGATGTTAAGAAAAGTTTGCCAGTTTGTACCGTTTTCCACCATAAGAAAGAGACGTTCCACGAATTCCTAACATTTCAGCGACAATGATCGCGATGAGTCTCCGGCTTACGCAACGTCAGAAAGGAGTTTCACAGATACTGCATTCCTTTGTTTTAAATAATTTATTTTACAAAATATGTAACAGCGGCAAACCTTACAGCAAAGAGCGTTTGGTTTAAGAAGATAAAAACACGTCGGCTTCAGGTATGCGCCCACATAAACACGCACAACAAAGACCAGGGAATAAAAAGGACGCTGCTGTTTTGACTAAAGCTGCACCTGCGTCTCTTTTTGTTCGTCCTTCAACGCAGACGTTTGTTTGCTTGAAATTTTTTTGCAGTACTGCAAACAGGTCAGGTGACAATTCTCAGTATCTTAATAGATTCCTTTTCCATTTATACACGTTCAAATAAAAATGTTTAAATACGGATTCACGCTCGACGTTAAACAACGTTTAAAATGGGATTTCATCTTCACAGTCAAGAGATCACCGAGGGTCCCGTGTTGTAACCACTGGGCCTTCCATTGTTAAAGTCCTATCTTCTCGCTCAGTTCCTTGAGGGGGGGGTGGGTGGGGGTTCTCCACATCTCTAGCAGGAGCTGCTCTGCGTGGTCCCGCCGTCCGACACGAAGGCCTTGCTCTTCTTGGAGTATTTCATGGAGCTGAAGGAGACCCTCATCCTCTCCACAGTCCTGCTGCTCCTGCACAGGAAGGTGTTCTTCACGTGGTCCCTGAAGTCCTCGGACACGTAGTAGTAGATGAAGGGGTCCAGGACGCTGTTGAGGCTGGCCAGGCACAGCGTGGTGACGTAGAAGCCGTAGCCGTTGTTCACCACCCCGTCCTTCAGCAGCGAGTAGTGCACCACCAGCATGATGTTGCTGGGGACGAAGCACAACACGAACGTCACCAGCACGGTGACGATCAGCACCACGGCTTTACGGCGGTTCTTCCCCGCCGCGCTCTTCTCCATGCTGTTCCCCAGAGCCCGGAGCAGCAGGACGTAGGCGACGGCAATCACCACGCAGGGGACGAGGAACACCACCAGACCCATGAAGATGAAGTAGTAGTAGGGGAGCTGCACGGAGGCGAACGGGTCAAGGGCGTCCTGGATGACGCTGACGTCGTGGCAGGTGGTGACGTTGGGGTCTTTGAGCCTGGCGGTGTGGTCGTACAGGTACAGCGGCGTGCTGGTGAGCCACACGAAAGCCCAGATGGCCACGGAGACGCCGACGGCCACCTTGTTGTTCCTCTTCTGCTGGGACAGAGGGTGAGCCACCACCCAGTACCTCTGCACGCTGAGGCAGGCGATGAAGAGCACGGAGCAGTACATGTTCCCGTAGAAGAAGCTCACCAGCACTTTGCACATGGGCTCGCCGTAGATCCAGTCGTTGCCGTTGAGGTGGTAGGAAACCTTCAGCGGCGTCCAGATGACGAAGAGCAGGTCGGCCAGGGCCAGGTTGGCCATGTAGATGGAGGACGGGTGCTGCTTCTTGGTCCTGAAGAGGAAGACCCAGATGGCCATGCCGTTGGCGGGGAGCCCCACCGCGAACACGAAGATGTAGACGATCGGCAGGAAGACGGTGGTGAGATTGCTCTTCAGCGCGTCGGAGGTCGCCCGGTCCACGACAACTTGTTGGGAGTTTTCGGGGTCCACGTACCCGATGAACCCCCGTCCTCTGGAGGGGCCTGTGTGACAGAAGAGACAACGTTAAGACTCTGAACAAAACATCAACCATTCTGAGAATTAGTCACTTATAAAAAAGGTGGATACTCAGTACAAGAAACTGAGTAGGTTTTTTATCTCGTCACCTCTGGCGTTTTTGCATTATTTTCTTTTCAAGCTAAAAGCTTAAAATATGACAAAGGAGTCTTTAATGGAAGAAATAATGACTTGGAAGCTTAACTAACCCTATTAATTTATTAATGTAACACTTAAAAAGGGAACCGCTCTTTATAACCTCCATGTTGTTCTTGCGTCTACATTTCCCGACACTCAAACAACGCTTTAAAACGGGAGGATTAATACAACTTAAATAACAGTACTACTGTGTTAAAACGCTCTAAGGAGCCCGTATTCTCCGTGTGTTCTTTAGCTCGTTGTTCGACACACACACTCCTCCGGTCTTACTTGTGGCACTTGAGGCGTAGAAGCAGCAGAAGATCATCAGCAGCGACGATAACCGAGTTAAATCCATGTCTGCGTTCGGCTCGCGGTCTTTCCTCTGTCGATGTTTCCCCACCGCGACGCCTTAAATGATTCTCATGAAACGCGGACGACACGCCCCGAGACTACCTGTCCCCGAGACTACCTGTCCGCGTGACTACCCGTCCTGTCCGCCGCGCACGTCACCTGAGCCCCGCCCCCTGCTCCGCCCCGCCCCGGTCCCACGGAGGTTTCTGTTGAGCTCACGAATTATTATTAATCACGTCAAAGATGTGTTTAAATTACTAAATTACTGATTTGTTTTTATTTTATTTCACTTACCAAAAACGAAGGGAGTGGGTAACAGAATATAAAATAATAATATAAAATAAAACGTTTGTTCCTGTGGTTTAGTGTTCGGTGACCCTCATTGTGTCCTACACGAGGATCTGGTGAATCTATAAACACACAATCCAGTGAGCGAATGACTGTTCATGACATGAACCGGTGACAGAGCGATGTGCTCACATACAGAGGCTTTTATTTGAGGTGTAAATACAGATCAGCTGGAGTCCAAACAATCATTTATAAATCTCATGACCGGTTTGTTTAAGTTTCAATCCGAGAACAAAAAAAGAAAAGTACTCTAGAAGAAAAGGCGTTTTTAGCTTTCTTTGTAAATTCCGATAGACCCGTAATAAATGAATGAATTTACAGCAAAGATTAAACATGAGGAGTGTCGACCTTTTGCCGTCCTGACAGAGAAAAGTTCACCGACTAAAACGTTTAACCAGGTTACTGACGGGACTCACTCAAGAGAAATCTATCGATGGCATTCTGAATATTACTTTTTACACCTTTGAGTTTAATGATGAGAACAGATCTGCCGGTTTATCAAAAATAAAAGAAATTCATACAAGAGGTAAATCCACATCACGCATGTTAAACCATTCAGGACAGCTTGGACTCAAAGATAATATATGAAAAATAAAAATCAAATGAGAATATTAAATACAAGTTGTACAATAAAAAGTGACAAAATTTAAAATGCATAGTTTAAAAAAAAAAAACAGTAGACAGCTTAAAGCTTTTAAGTTTCCTGAATGATGCAGACGGTCACAGAGAAGAAGTCCACCGCGGAGCGGCGTCTCTGGAGGGGAGGAGTCAGCCCTCGGTGCTCTGCGTGTTCCCCGAACTGGACGTGTACTTTTGGCTCTTCTTGGAGTACTTGAGGGCGCTGAAGGAGACCCTCATCCTCTCCACCGTCCTCTCGCTCCTGCAGAGGAACGTGTTCTTCACGTGGTCCCGGAAGTCCTCCGAGATGAAGTAGTAGATGAAGGGGTCCAGGCAGCTGTTGAGGCTCGCCAAGCACAGCGCGGACACGTAGAAGCCGTACAGGTTGTTCTCCGCTTCTCCCAGCAGGAGGACGTAGTGCACCAGCAGCATGACGTTGCTCGGGGCGAAGCACACCAGGAACATCACCAGCACGGTGATGATCAGGACCACGGCCTTCTTGCGCCTCCTGGCGATGGCGGGGTCCGCCATGCTGTTGCGGAGAGCCCGGAGCATGAGCACGTAGGACACGACGCACACGGCGGTGGGCGCCACGAACCCCAGCGTCCCCATCGTCAGGAAATAGCCCGCCGCCATTTCCTTCTGGCTGGGCCGGGTGACGTCGTGGCAGGTGAGGATGTCGAGGTTGGCCACGCGGACCTCCTGGTCGTACAAGTAGAGGGGAATGGTGAGGAGCCAGACCACCGCCCACACGGCGACGGAAACTCCGACGGCGACGGCGTTGGCGCTCCTCGGCCGCGAGAGCGGGTGGACCACGGCCCAGTAGCGCTGCACGCTTATGCAGGCGATGAAGGCGATGGAGCAGTACATGTTGCCGTAGAAGAAGGCCACCAGCACCTTGCACAGCGGCTCGCCGTAGGTCCAGTTGTTGCCGTTGAAGTGGTACGCGATCTTCAAGGGGACCCAGATGACGAAGAGCAGGTCGGCCAGGGCCAGGTTGGCCATGTAGATGGAGGACGGGTGCTTCTTCTTGCTCCTGAAGAGGAAGACCCAGATGGCGAGGGCGTTGGTGGGCAGCCCCACGGCGAACACCAGGATGTAGACGACGGGGAGGAAGACGGTGGTGAGGCGGCTGCCGAGGACCTGCCTGGCCACGGCGTTGACCCACACCCCGTCGTCCGTCTCAGTGCCGCCGAAGCCTCGGCTGCCGGGGTCAACACGCGAGAACAAAACATGTGAAATAACGTCGACCTGTCGCAGCAACGTACACGCCGCAAATAAAAAGCCTGCATTCAAAGCCTTCAAGTACGAAGGGTAAAAGTGACGACGCAGTAAAAATATTCCCTCGTCAGTGTGTCATTTAATAAGAAACGCTCCTCAAGAAGCTCACACACAGCATTACCTCAGACGTCGTGTAGATATACCTCAGAGATCTAGAAAGTACACTGTGAGTATCTGTGAGATTTACTGGAGACGTATGAAGTGGAAATGGAAATTTTCCAGTACCCAAATGTACGCTTGAATACGGGCCGCGGGTTGTGGGGTAAAAGGCCGCTTCTCATCACGTTGTCACCCCGTTACACGTTAACACTACTTCTCCAGGTGAGGCGCGGGTCCCCGGAGGCCATCGCGCCTCGCGCCACCAGACTTCCTCGTCAAACCGCGCGACCCTGAACCCAAAGCCTCAGTCCCCCCCTTTTAACCCGACCCCAGGTGCGACCCGACCGGAACTTCGGTACCTGTCTGTGACGCGCAGCTCCGCAGGAAACACGCCAGGACGAGCAGCCGGACCCATCGCGTCCTCGCCGCCATGATCGATCGATCGATCGCTGCTGCTGCTGGCGGACAAACTGCCGTCGGTCTTGTGGATGTCGGAGGCGTGACGTCACGCCTCGCGTCAGGTGAGCAGCCCGACCACACCCGTTGATGGGACGTCACGTGACGACGGTGCGTTTCGTTCCAGTAAACAACTGACTCAGTATCTGTTTTCAGGTGCAACATAAACGTGAACACTTTAAATCTATAACATTCTACTCATAACGTCATGTTTTCTTCTGAAATTGATTCTACTTTAAAAATATTAACAAGCGCTCTTAATATTAAGCTCAATATTTACTTCTGTTTTTAGTTTCTAGCAGGCACCGGGAATGTTTATTATTTACATAAACTCTTTTCAATATTTTTTTTAAGTTTAATTATTTACTTGATTTCCTCTCGTTATATTCTATTCTGGTGTCAGTATATTAACATTTCATTCTATTGTTTGAAAAGGTTTATATTTTACTACATGTAATTATACTCTGTGGCTTCTTTTAAAGAGACCTGAATACTTCAACGTCTGATTCGAAATATCAAACACAAGCATCAGACTGATAACGTTAATCTCCTAAAGATATAAATAACGCCATCATTTTACCTACTTCTCTTTTCCACGTGTTACTTGTGAGCTGAAGAAAGCAGAACAGACGCTGATGTACCTGAAAGTTCACACACAGCCGTCGGTTTTATGAGACCAGTATACTTTTATATGTAAGAGCAACATTAAGCTGTTCAATCATCCAATGTTAATATTGTTCCTGAAAAGATTCAGGTGAACAAATACTAAAACAACCTTTACTAGAACCAAGTAGATTACACATTGAAAGATTCCAAAAGTATTTATTAGTATCAGCAGTAGAGGTGCACGTCACATGACTGATGAAATGGACGTGGACACAGAGGAAGAGGACGGATCCATTTTAATAACAGTCCCTGCAGCAGGAACAAGACAGTGAAAGAACAGCCTGTAAACACTTAAAATACTTCACACTTCCAACCAGCAGAGAGCAGCATGAAGCACACCTGTTCGGTGGTTATTACAAAACAACGACAAGAAACTTATTCAGAGATCAAAAAATGGGGAGAAAAAAGACTTTTAAAATACAAAAGTAAGAAATTATTGCCAGCTTCTCAAATGTGGAAAATACGCTTCTCAGCAAAAACATAATAGCAAATAATCACCTTCCATTGAATATAATACTTACAGCTTAAAGACTCTTAATACTTCTATGGTGCAAAAAAAAAAAGCCTTTCTAAATGAGGATAGGAAGCCCTTTCTTATCAGACTTCCTTCTTGTCAAACGACTTGTCCTCGCACGAAAACAGCTCAAAAACACAGCTTGTCTTTTCCAAACAAGTTAGGCATTTCTGTTGAACTTTCTGTCCTTCTGTATTGTGAAATAAAATTGAAAACCCTTTGTGCCCGTCACAAAAACGGTTTCATAACGCTAAAAAAAGGCCGTTGGATCAGACCAGCAGCTTCTTGTACTGGCTGCTCAGGTCCGCTTGGACAGCTGCGTTTATCTGGGAGCTCTCCGCGCGGCTGGACTTCAGGATCGTTCTGCTGCTGGATCGGCTCGAATTGGAGGTCGAGTGACCTCCGCCACTCCCCCCCGCGACCTTGTGACACCCCAGCGCGCCGGCCAGCTGTTTCTGGCACTGGGAGGACCCGAAGTAGTAGACCAGAGGATCCAGGAGGCAGTTGAGGCTCCCCACGCACAGAAACACCAGGTAGACGGCGTAGGAGCCGTCGGGCGCCTCCCGGCTCGTCTCCACCCCCTCGTCGAACTGCAGGTAGTGCGCCAGCAGCAGGCAGTTGGTGGGCGTGAAGCACAGCACGAACATCACCAGCACGGTCAGGGCCATCACCACCGCTCGGCTTCTCCTGCGCGAGCACCCCGGGAGGCCGCGGGGGACCCCGCTCAGCGCCCAGATCACCCGGGCGTAGGACACCACGGTGACCAGCAGCGGCAGGAAGAAGAGGGCCACGCAGAGGGCCACGAAGTAGGCCTTGTAGCGGCGGATCAGCAGGTTGGCGTGCTGGAACGTCGTGGCAGGTGGTGATGCCCAGGCCGCGGAGGCGGACGGTCTGCTCGGAGAGGACCAGGGGCACCGAGCCGGCGAAGGACAGCGCCCACATGGCCGCGCAGGCCAGGGTGGCGTTGCGGGGCCTCCTCCAGGCCAGGGAGGCGATGGGGTAGACCACGGCGAGGAGCCGGTCCACGCTGATGCACGCGATGAGGAGGACGGAGCAGTACATGTTCCAGTAGAAGGCCGCGGTGACCACGCGGCACATGAACGGGCCGAAGATCCAGTTGTTCCCGCCGAAGTGGTAGGAGATCTTGAAGGGGAGCAGCGAGGCGAAGAGCAGGTCGGCCGAGGCCAAGTTCAGCATGTAGATGGCGGCCGGCTTCTTGGGCCGGATCCTCCGGGCGAAGGCCAGGACCGCGCAGAGGTTGACGGGCACGCTGACCAGGCACACCAGCGTGTAGAAGGAGGGGATGAGGAGCTTGGACACGGGGCCAGTCAGGAACTGCAGCGCCTCCTCGGAGATCTCCGGCCGGATGGAGACGGTGGCGTTGATCCCCGGGACGCTAGCGGAGTGATTCGTCTTGGCAACGACCTCCCCCGCGTCGAGGTCGGTCAGGTCCAACGGTTCGCCTGGCGGGGGGAAGAAGGCGAAGGTCCTCCCGAATGCACTGACTGGGGAGAAGAAAGGCGTCAGGAAGTTTGCGCGGCGGCAGAGCGACATGAACGGGCCGATAGAACCACGACTACCGGCTCCAACGCTCTGCACACCTGGAACTATAACCAGATGTTTTACTTGTGCTGCCCACTCAATGCGGGAAAGACTGTTCTTTTTGGTAAGCTAGTTAGCGTTGGCGCAGGTAGTTTGCTAGTTAGCATGCTAGCGTTCAGCATGATGACCTGGACCAAAAGTAAAACATCCCAGAATATTTTCCATGTGTTTGGTGTTGCTAATGCGTTAGATTGTTGCTGTACCCATAAATATTATTGACTTTCCCCATTTCATATTGAAAATATGCATTTTTAAAGCAATGGGGGCTAAATACAGATTGCAAAAGGTGAAGGGCTGAATTCAACAAGTTGTGGTCTGTAAACAAGAGGGCCGAAACATTGGAAATTACGCGTGCTTAAAGTGTGACACTGTGTAATATTTTTTTAGAATGTTATAAGTAAACATTAAGACTTAAAGATGGAGTGAGCTTAAAGCCCAAATCGATGCTGGAGTTACTTTGATCACAACTGAAGACCCGAAGGATCTGTTACACACAAGGGTTCTTCTATACATGAGGGTTCTGACACCCCTGCTGCTGTTATCATCATTATTATTAGTCACTTTATTATTACTGTCATCATAAACCCAAATTAAAAAATTGCCTTTCCCTCCTCACAGGTTTCTGTGGATGGAGGTTGCATCTGATGGAGGTTGTGCCTGCAGTGGTCCTGCCTCACTACGCTCAATATTAGAATAATTTCTGTCATAGGATTTGAATCCATCGTACAGCTTAAAGTCGTTCATACTCTGCACACCTACTTCTCTGCTGTTTTCCCCTCAAGGTTCTCCCAGTTGAAGGTTTTTACATTTTGGGGCCGTTGGGACAGGATGTTGCATGTTTACAGATTGTAACGCTAAACAAAATGAAATGATTTGAATTGAATAAACAACGCGCACTCGGACTCTTTACACAAATAACCCTCACGTGAGGATGAGGGAGATGCAGCTGATTTCAGGTATTATCCCAACTCAAGTGACTCACAGCCACAGCTGGTTACCGAATCTGAAAATGAACTACAAACACAGAATGAAGTCTTAACGTTTATTTGTGGGCGTTGAAAAGACGTCCACGTATAGACCAGTTTTCAACGGGATTTATAATATCGGTGGTAAACTTACAAATGTGGACGTAGTTTTCTTTTTAAACCTCTAAAATAATGATATAGCACACAAGAAATGACGAAATATTACTGTATAAAAAAATCACGTTGAAATGTGGTTTAAAAGTAGACGTTGAAAAAAATCTTTTAAACCATTTTGCAACGTCGGACACAGACGTCTTTTCAACCAAAAAATGCTCACTGGGCAAAATCAATTAGACTAAAAAAATTGACCGAAAAATTAGACCGAAAAAATTTGCTTGAGAAAACGACAAATATTCTCTGGTTTTGGGTTCTTCTTGGAAAGTGAATCACTCTCACATTATACAACAAAAACGTTCACTTCCCCATCAATTACTTCCCCGACGCTCAAAGTGACGTCATCAAATGTCTCGTTTCGTCTGACCAAACGCAAAATTGAAAGGAAAAATTTAGTACAAACTTTTAGTAGAAAACAAAACCTTATTTTTTTTCTACGGTAAATCGTATGAAATAATTTTCTACCAAGTTTGCACTAATAAAGTTCCCTAAATCTCTAAATTGTCAATAAACTTCCTTCTTACCGTTATTGCGCGCCGCCGCGGCAGCACGCGCGCACACCAGCACCAGCAGCACCGCGTTTGGACTCATTGAAAACATGTTTTAACAGGAATACGGTCCTCGTGGGGGTCTGCGTTCTCCGTGCTCGTCGGGTCTCCTGCGCGTTCTTCCTGCGGCGCCTCGCCGTCCTCCGGAGGCGAGTTTTGTCTCCGCCCACCGCTGTCCGGAGGGTCCGGAACGCCCCGGTCACCTAATCAACTGCAGCCCCGCGCGACCAGAGGCGCATTCCGATGGTCTGACGTCACCTTTCCGCCGCCGCCCGAGTGTGAGAATCTAGGAGAAAAAAGCCCCTTTCATGGTCCTGTTTGCTTTGGTGTGAAAAACACGTGCAAACTATTCAATTTGTTTCTTTGTTTTATGTTGAGCGTCGCAGTGAGTTTATGGAGGGAAAACAGCAGCAAAATGCAAATACCAACAGGAAAAGCAAGAAAGTTTGTTTTGAATTTTGGGGATTATTACTTTAATTGGATATCTCGTCAAACTCCCAATTCATAAACACATTTAGTCTTAATTAATCCAACTAAGATAGCGGACCGTGAACCGGGCGCTCACAGCGGGGTACAAACTGTAAATGTTTGTGAGTGTTTCATTGAAAACAGATTTCCCTGTTTGGCTGCGCTGATCCCCGGAGAGACGACAGTGCTTCCTGTTGCCAGCGGTTACGTTGTCTGAAAAACACAGGTATTTTAGACCTGGTTATGATTTTGAATGCCGAAAAGCACGACATCGTGTGTGTTCTGTATTTACGGAGCGGAAGCAGAGACGGAGGATTTGCGACAGAAAAACCAGGAGGAACCAGGAGGAAGAAGTGTGCTGATGTCTGACTCGTTCAGCCCCAACTTTCTATCCACAGATTCTCACAGCTCACACGCTTTACTCATGAATCTGTCACAACCATCCGTTCTGAATCACCAAAACACCACACGGGCCACACGGTCGCTTCGTCTGGTGGCTGATGTGTCTTTCTTCAACTTATAGTTTTGCTCTATTTATCTTTGGATAGAAGCTTCTGGACTTTGTTTCTTGATAAAACTCTTAAATGTGTCTGTTAAACATGAAGCCGGGTGCCGAATGAAAGAGCTTATCTCCTATGAAGGCCAACGGTGGGGAAGCTTCCGGCCTGGCTTCCCACAATGCATCCTTCCTGGAGGGCCGCCAGCGGCCCGAGCGGCCCGGTCAGAGGGTTTGGCGGCGGAACGGTAAAGCTCATTCAACATTTCCACATTCGGCAGATTCAGAGAAACGTTAATCGTTCATTTTGGAGACTTCTGGTCACACGGTGAACTCCAAAGCCTCTTTCTCTGAAACATCCTTCACTTTAGCTGCTAAACGCTCCACTGTTTGACCTCCCGGTGCTTCAGAGCTGCAAACACCTCCTGATGTTGACGCGGAAACATTGATCATTCAAGTGCAGCTGCAGGGAGGCGGTGTTGTTGCTGCAGGGCGCCGGGCTCGGGCGTAACTAAACCAAACACTCGCTCAGTCCCGCTCACGGGAGGAGGCCGGACGCCGCCTCCAAAGAATGTGCAGGACGTGGGAGCTGCAGGACGGAACGGGACGCGACGTTGGGACGTTCTGCCACGGTCGCCCTCTGAACGCGACGCTGCAGCGATGTAAACAGGAAGCGGCATCACGTACGAGTCCTGAACTTTGTGCTTCAACTCCCAAACAAGTCGTTGTTCACCCAGAGAGCTGACAAACATCTCAGGAGCACAGGCCGCACGTAGGCCGAGGAGGAGAAATGTTGAGTGCAGAGGAGTAAACACCAATAAGTCACAGCACGGATTTATGGAGATGCTCCCGGGAGAAGGTTCCACCATCACCACATGTTCTGAATTATTGTCGTGTGTCTGCATCTGGATTTGTTATCCGCCTCAGAGGTTATGAAATGTCTGGCTCTTAATCCGCTAATCGCTCCACTCTGACCAGCTGCTCTCCAGCTGTTTGGTTTACAGGAATGTGGTGTCGTGCATCACAACGTCCTTGGAACATCTTGAACAAGAGAGAGAGAGAGAGATTATGGAGGAAAAAAAAAAAAAAATTGACATGAAACGTGCTGTAACGAGGCGAAAGGAAGAGGATCCTCACGGGGCCTCTGACTCATGCCGCCTGCACGCCGCTCCCACCGTCCTCTAAAGTGCGTCGAAACATTAACAACATATCGAAACATTAACAAGATAAGAGGAAGACAAACGGGGAAACTTGAAAGAAGAAGTGAGAAGGTTTTACAGTCTGTGACTCCCAGCGATGAACGCTGAGTCCAGCTGGAATAATCCTGGAATGAGGCGGCTCTTTGCTGGGGAGGCAGAGCCCCCTTGTGGAGGAAACCTCCTTCTGACAGACTGTGGTGGTTTCCATAGCAACGCGGCGGGGCCCTGGAAGGACCGTTTCCTGTGACCCTCCCCACAAGTCATCAAGGAAGCAGGCCTGACGTAGTGGTGGCGTTTCCCTTTATTGTTCCCTGTCCTCATGTCCCTTTCACTTTCATTTGTGGTATATATATATATCTGTATATATACAGATATATATATATATATATATACAGATATACCGTTCTGCTGCCTCTCCTCACGCACGTTCTCGCCGTTTCTTGTTCATTTGCTTCTTCTCGGTGATTTTAGCCGCGCTGACGTCAGAGGCGTCGTCACGGAAACGCTCTCCGCGGCGGAATGCGCTGAGGTCGAACAGATGCTGGCTCTGCAAACATCTCCCGCAGCGAGTCCGGCGATGAGGCGAAAACAAGACGAGGCTCCCGTCTGCGATCAGCTGGCTGTTTGTGGAGCAAAACAACTCGTCCCTGGAACGAGGACAAACAAATGTTGAGATCAGTTTGAAAGGTCACGCCACGACTCCAGTAGATGCAGATGTTTAAATGGGAAGTAGAAGTAGAAAACCACCGCAGTTCCCACATTAAAGAACACAAAGCTCACAGAAACGTGGTCATTTACCAAAATATGACCTATGGAAGAAGAACGGTGGAACCACAATGACATGAAAAAGTAATTATGATGAAAAGCGATATTTTAATATCCCTTGTGAAACACTAACTGGTCATTATTTGGAGGTAATAAGCTCGTTATCTTTGACACACAGTATTGTGACAAACTAAGTCATTATTTTAGATATTATTTTAGATTTTAGATTAAATCCTCAATCAAAAAAGTGTCAATATTTTGACATGGAAATGTGTTTCTTGGGATACAATGTTGTTACTTTTACTCTGAGTCATTCTTTTGAATCATTGCTTCCTGTTTGTTTCTCTGTTTTATAATTAGCTGCACCTTTTTTTTCAAAAGAAAGAAGAAGAAGAAGTGAACTATTTAAATGTGCCTCATGTTCAGAATCATGCTTATCATTTCCAGACAGACATTTCCGTAATGATCAGTGTCCCCTTCCCGCTCATTACGTCACCTCGCCCCCCCGAACTCCCCCCCCCCTCAGGCCCCGGGCAACGAAACGTCACCAACACATTGTTTCAACACAGGGGATGAAACATCTGGGTGTTAAAAGTTCAATTCCAGACGAGGTTACGACCGTTTAGAAGCTCATGAGTCCGGGTGCAGAGCGACGGGAGGAAGGGGGAGGGAAGGGGGAGGGGGGGGGGAGGGGCACTGCACCCTGTGCAGGTCTAAACAGGAAACAAACTCAGCCCGGTGTTGATTCCGAGCTTTTTCTTTCTTCATTTCGTCCTCGTGGGCTCGAGGAGAGGAAATAATGGGGAAGCGTCTCCTCTTCCTCCTGGTGGCTCTTCTCTGTGTGAGGGGGTCCGTCCTGAAGGGAGGTGAGTCCAGTCTCGACTGTTAGATGAAAAACTTTGTTTGTGCATGAAAATGCTACAGTTAGGGTGGTTTTAGAGAATATGATGCATTGACGTAAAGACGTAAAGAATCCAGAAACATCAACTATTGTTTTCACACATCGCTCTGTTCATCTAGAAGTTCTGGTTTTGGTTTATGATTTATGAACATTTATGAAGATCTCGGCTGAAGGAGCGGATGACGGTCCGACGGACTGTCGGATGAAACTGAAACTGAAAGCTTCACTTTGTGTTTTGAAACAGTTTTGAAATTCATAAAAAAATGATTTTTAGTTGGTTTACTCAGTTCGTTCTAAATGTGTTTAAACGATGTAACAAATCGTATGAAAAACATAATGAACGTTTTTCTTCTTCTTCTTGCAGGGAAAAATAAAAGCAAAGTGGCGTGGAACAGGTCCGAGCCGGCGGTCGTGGTGCCCAGAACGTTTCTAGGGGAACTGAACCCGATCCATCAGCTCAACGGGACTCTCGTTCCGTCCCGGTCCCCTCCGGTGCTGCGGTTGCTAAGCAACGGCACAGCCGAGTACCTCCGCGGCCCTCTGAGCACGCGGGTCATCCCCACCGTTTACCTGCTGCTCGTCGCCGTGGGGATCCCGGCCAACGTGGCCATCCTGTGCGCGCTGGCCTCCAAGGTGCGGAAGGCGTCCTCCGCCATCCTGTACTGCAGCCTGGCCGCGTCCGACCTGCTCCTCCTCCTCTCCCTCCTCTTCAAGGCCCACTACCACCTCCGCGGGAACCAGTGGGTGCTCGGGGAGGCCGCCTGCCGGGTGGTCACGGCCTGTTTCTACGGCAACCTCTACTGCTCAGCCCTGACGCTGGCCTGCATCGGGGTCAACCGCTACCTGGCCGTGGTGCACCCGTTCGCCTACAAGGGCCTCCCCAAGAGGGCCTCCGCGGCCTGGGTCAGCGTGGCCGTGTGGGGGGCGTTCGGCGCCGCCGTCGTCCCCGAGCTGCTCGTCCAGCAGAGCTACCGGCTCCTGGAGGTGGACCGCGTCACCTGCCACGACGTGCTGCCGCTGGGCCGCCGCTCCCACGGCTTCCTCGTCTACTACAACCTGTTCCTCGCCGCCTTCGGCCTGCTGGCCCCCCTGCTGGTCACGGCGGCGTGCTACGCCCGGATCGTGCGCGAGCTCAACCGGTCGCACCACGACTGGTCGATGTACGTGAAGGCCAGCTCGCTGGTGTTCGTCATCTTCGTGCTGTGCTTCGCCCCCGCCGGCGTCCTGCACTTGCTGCACCACGTGCAGCTGTTGGCGCGCGGGACGGAGGGCTTGTACGTGCACTTCAACGTGGCGGCGTGCCTGTGCTGCCTGCACGCCTGCCTGGACCCGTTCCTCTTTCTCCTCATGTCCAAGTCTGCAGCCTCCAGGCGCTACTCCAGGACCTTCAAGGGCAAGACCCTCAGCCTGTCCGTGTGAGGCCCCCGCGCAGAGGGACCACAAGGACCACAAGGACCCATGTGTCGCTTTAAATCTGCTCTTTAACAGTAAAACAGGAGGTTTTTGTGCAGTAATATAGTTATGTGTAATTCAGAGACGCAACAAGGAGTTTAAATATATGTATTAAATATGTTAATGGAAGGTTTAGGAGAGTAAATAATGAACATTCATGTCTATCACATATTTTTATTCTGTAGAGTTTGGGGGACTTAATGCTTCAAGTTCACAGCTGACGATGAACAACAGGAAACAGACTTTAGACAAATAGTTTCCTGTATCTGCTAAAATATAACGTGTCTGAGATACTTTGTGTTTAATGGCAGATTTTACACACACACACACACACACTTGTAATCGTTTCAGATATCCGGTGCTTTGCTAATCTCTTCTTTTGAACTCTTTGGAGAAGAGTCGAAGAGAAGAGACATAATTTAGTGCCTCTGGAAGAAAAAAACAACTCCCCCGGTGGAGATGTCATTTCCTGCCAAGCCTGCAGGATGTAGGGTGACACACACACACACACACACACACACACACACACACGGAAATGGAAAAGACTGAAATGATTTACACGGGACTTTTAACATCTAAACATTCATTGCTAATATGTATCTGATGTAAAGAAACGACCTTAAACGTTGAAATGGTTGAACATTTAGCACATTTATTGTTGCATTTCTAAGGTTTTCTAGCCCTTGAAATGTAACATTAACAAAACTCATGTAGTTGACGCATTAACAGCTTAAGGTGAAGGTCACGTGACCAGCTGAGCCTGCAGACTGAAACACTGCAGATAAAGTGAAACAGCTGGAAAGCTTAAAAGGGGCCAGCTTGCTAACCTGGTTTTATGTCTTCATTGGGTCAATCATGGTTCTCCCCCATGACGCTGCCTCTTATTGTGAAAGTCTAAAATTAGCCTGGTGAATGTGAAAGATGTTCATCTCCCCCCGATAAGAGCGACTCGTCCCTCTGAGGCCCCGGAGAGATTCCATCAGCTCTGCTTCAGTTTCATCATCTCAATCCACCTGCAGGTTTGTGTAGTTTTTACATTTCAACAAACGGATTTGTTTCCCCTTTAATAACAAACAAAAGCCATTTGAACTAATCCATAAAAAACCCAAATAGCAAAGACAGCGATGGATTGTCTGGTAATAAAAACTAAAGCCTCTCGTATTTTGTACATTTTAAGACGTTTTTTGTTGTTTCCATCATCATTGATCACCTGCTTGATCTGTAAGAGGTAAAAGGATTAATTAATGAATTAATGAAGCATATTCCAAACAGGCCTTAATTGTTTATCTCCACAGTTCAGGCCTTTCGTTTGCACTCTACTGCCTTTTATTTATGAGAAATAGTGCAACCCTAAATTTTAATTTCTAAAGCCACAAAGACAGGAAGGAAAAACTCAAACCCGTCCAAATGTATCTTACTTTAATGTCTTTGGGGTTTAAATCTAAATCTAAGACTCTAATATTTCCTGTTAAATGACATCAAAACAAAGAGGAAGAGTCTTAGAACAGCACAACCCCCCCACTCAGAAACACGTAGAAGCACATCGTGGTGTATTATTCTTAAACGGGGCCCCCTGCTGGGGATGTAAGGACGCACACACAGAGCGGTTCAAATTAAACTCTTTATTCAGCCTGCAGACACAGCGGAGGAATCCACCGTTTTCTTTCTCTGGAGCCTTTTCTTATCAAAATAAATCGTATCAAGGTCACAGGTCACAGGATAACACACACGTCATCTCACCACGAGCATGCCCTTCCACAACGACCCACAATCAACTGGGTACGATGAACACCTCCACGACAAGTCAGACAACACACAGCCCCCCCCCCCTGCCGAGCAACAGCAAAAGACACCAAAAATGGATAAAAAACGCGCACACACAGCAGAAGGACTTCAGTAACAAACATGCAGGACTTTCTGGGTGACGGAGGAGGTTGTTAGCTGGGCACAGGTGGAGGTGACGGAGGCGAAGCCTCGGGACAACCGGATGGAAGCGGCTGCATCCCAGTCTGAAAAAAATCATCCTAGTCATCCTAAAAGAGGAAATAGCTGGCAAGAGAACATCACTGCTGCCTTCTGACACCAAACAGCATCACAAATAACTGAGAATAACTGTATTTTCTTTTTTCTATGATTGAACAAACAAAGTGAGCGTTTTCATACATTTTCATAGATAATTCACACATTATCTAATGCATTTTTAACATCATAGCAAACAGTTGAGTTCATTAAAGGTTTTAAAAGCTGCGTTCACCCAAATCACAAAAAAACAAGCGTGTTTTCTTATTTAGCTGAGTGGGTTTTGAAGCCACGCAGGTATTGTGTCCGGATATCCGTCCCCACCTGGTTACGATGCAGGTGGAGTTCTGTTTGTGGTGCAACATTGTAAAATGTAAAATATAAAACCCAAAGAATTCCCTCTGGAGTTTCTACCGGATCTCGTTTCTGCGGAGAAAGTAGTCCTCTGCTCACGGAGCGTTCCGCTCTATGTGCTTCGTTGGGATTTGGGTGAACTGATCCTTTAAGCATGGCTTTTGATTTCACTCCATCATGTAGTCATTCAACATTTAGTTTGCTCGAGTAGAAGCACAAGAAAAGCACTCGAGTTTCGAGGAACAAGTGTTGGCAATTTTCTGTAAACCAGTGACTTTGAATATCTGGCCACCGCTACCGAAAGACGTTGAGACGCGTACAACAAGCAGCGATGTCCACTGGAGACCTCTGGACGGGTCGAACAAGCTGAGGACGTTTAAGAGAGCAAACACACGACTTTCACACAGCTGACCACTGTTTGTGTCCCGGGATAAAAAGTCATCGGGAACGTTGAATTGTTTTTTCTTGTCGTGACAATTGTTACATTTATGTTACTTTGTTACTTTGAGCCGTCGCCACGTTGTTGAAACTTCTCATTTCCCGAATTTATTAAATATTTCTGAAACTAATTTTTGGTCCAAAAGACGTTGTTTTGTCGAAAAACACACACACACACACACACATGCACGCACACAGTGTTATCACGTGATGAGACAAAAGCAGCGGCGCCGAGCAGCGAAGCTTCCTGCAAAGGTTTCGGAAGGAGAGCGAGAGGCACGACATTTGAGAAAGGCCTTTGAGTTCCGGGGGGAGAAGGAGCAGCAGCGAGGCAGGAGGAGACAAAACGGAGCGGGAGGTCAGACAGCGACAGCAGAGCGTTAAACCGGGAGAGCGAAGCCCTCGGCGGCGAGCGCGGTGCCACGAGACGAACACGACGCCAGAGAGGAAGCGTTCGGACACAAAGGGTTCCAGTCCCGCAGCTCTGTGAATGTAAACTTCTTTTCACTGTAGAAACGCAGCTGCTGGAGTTGCCGGTTTTGACTAATCTACGATATCGTAACAGATTCTTTACTTCGTTATTATGGCGTCGTCATTCGTGCAGAAGAAGGCTTGAAAGTGGGTCGACCGCTGGGGGGAGTTGTGACCCTCAGGTGTGGAAGCGGAGGTCAATAACATGAACACTGTAAATACAGAAATAAACAACCACACCGAGGAGGCCGGATGAGGATCTGGAATAGCTCGACCTTCTGTCGAAGGTCATGCATTGAAGGTCATATGTTAAATATGACGGCAACTTGATGACGTTTCCGCATGCTTCCAGTCGTTATGCTAAGCTAACCGGCTGCTAGTGTGAGCCTTTGAATGAAATGTGAAACTATTCCGTTGATGGATTGGGACGGGGTTCGGGGACGGGGTTCGGGGACGGGGACGGCGGAGGGACGCCCGGGCCTTTTGCAGCTTTGACACATGCGTTGGTGTGGCACAGACGGTGAGCGGCTGATGTACAGAGTTTTAATCTCTCTACATCCACGGCTCACCTCATTAATCTGCATTAATTACCAGGTGTTTCCCTCAGATACAACAGAACAATAATCACTCGGCTGGTACTTGCTTGAGAATCATTGGAGTCCAATCTGAATCTTTATGGTGCACAAGGTGCTGCTCCGCGTCCGGCCTTCACATGAGCACATTGGCCCGAGTGTCCGGCAGCCGGAGCCCCACCAGCCCGCCGCCGACCAGCACGGAGGACGCCATCAGGATGGGGATGGCCTTGGTGATGCCGACCAGCGAGCCGAAGATCAGGTTTCCCAGCACCGCCGCCAGCTTGCACATGGCGTTGCAGAAGCCAAAGCCCGTTCCCCTGGAAACGAGGAGGCGAGGAGACAAGGAGAGGTGGTTTCTGTGCTGCAGGAGCTTTCTTTTGAAGGAGTAAATTGCCCAAGAATAAATTGTTCTGCAGCAGAAGTACGCAGCGACTTTTCAATCATATAATATCAGTTGCAAAGTGAGCAGCTTCAATACGAGGCAGCAGCAGCATCAGCATTTCTATCACGTCCATGGAGCCACTGGGCTGGATCCTAAAGCCATTATGCTGATTTATTACACGGATTATTCACATTGGCTTTTAAAAAAAACCCGTTGATGAATTATTATAATAATTATTATTCCAATCCTCCCCTGGATTCAGATGACGGTGCATTCCCTCGACTGACCTCCTGTCTGTCGGGTACAGCTCGGCGGTGACCACGTCCAGGGAGTTCCAGGCGGAGATGCTGAGGCCGTTGTAGAGGCACAGCATGAAGATCATCATGGACTCGCTGGTGCCGAACCACAGGAAGAAGCAGCTGATGCCCGACAGCACCATGGAGCCCCCTGCAGGGAGACAAGCGCCACACCTCCTTCAGGCCTCGCACGCACAGACAGCAGCAGGAGAGGCTGCTCCTCCCGAGAGCGTCGCCACGTACCCAACATGCTGAGGCGCCCGATTTTATCCATCAGGAGCGCCGACACGATGTTCCCGGGCAGCACGGCCAGCGTTCCCAGGAAGTTGACGAAGTAGACCCAGTAGGCGCTGTAGTCGTCGTCAAAGGTCATCTGACAGCCCGTCTTGTTGTGGTGGAACGAGCTGTTGATCACTCTGGAGTTTGTTAGTTTGGAGTCGTCAATGTCTGTGAAAGCCAGAGACGAGAGCTCAGTTTGAAACCTGTTTAGTCCTGATCCTCTATGTGAACCAGTCTCCATTTAGTCCTGATCCTCTATGCAAACCAACCTCTGTTTAATCCTGATCCTCTATGTAAACCAGGCTCAGTTTAGTCCTGATCCTCTATGTGAACCAACCTCTGTTTAATCCTGATCCTCTATGTGAACCAGCCTCCGTTTAGTCCTGATCCTCTATGTAAACCAGGCTCCGTTTAGTCCTGATCCTCTATGTGAACCAACCTCTGTTTAATCCTGATCCTCTATGTAAACCAGGCTCCGTTTAGTCCTGATCCTCTATGTAAACCAGGCTCTGTTTAGTCCTGATCCTCTATGTGAACCAGCCTCCGTTTAGTCCTGATCTTTAAGAACCAGCCTCAGGTTTCATAAAATACTCACCGAACGTACTAAATAATCTGAATAATTCAAATGTCTGTGGTTTTTCTCCCCAAATAGAAAGGGTGTGATAATAAACGAAACAGACCCCCCATGAGGCAGACAGACTTTATTTCCCATGGAGACGATTCTCATTCTCACTCTCTCCACGTTGAGCTCTTTTTCCAGATCTACTTTCCCACCCTGAACTCCCACAAGGTCTGATTCAGCTCCGGTTCCTCCTCCTGCTCTCTGCTTTTCTTTTCTTCCCGCTCTGGTTTTCGTCTGGTCAGGAGACCGAGAATCATCGGATTGCACTTTTGTAACAGCCGGGATCCATTAATTTGATGTTATGAGCACTTCTGCGGGGCACTTGGTGCAAAAACAAGCAACGATGAATACGTCTTTGCATCCTTCATCAGACAGGATGAAGACCCTCCTTCCAGGACATCTGCAAATTCGGGGCCACAACAAATGCTCAAACCCACTTTGTTCCCCTGAAGCTCCAACGTTAAGCCCACAATGTCAGCAAAGGAGAGTGAGCGCTGTGTGGTTAATAGCACGGGGGGAGAGGGGGAGGAACGCCTGAGGAACCGTGGGGAGATCCCTGAAGGTGAAGACTCACCCGTGTTGTAGAAGAAGGAGTCGACAAAGGTGCAGTTTTTGAAGAAGGATCCTAAGGAGGAGACGTCCTCAAAGTAGCAGTTGATGAACGAGGAGTCGATGAACGTGACCGCTTTGAACTTCATGCCGATGAACCTGTGAGGAGAAGGAGGTGAGAGGGTTCGTCATACGTATACCAGGACCAGGAGAACGAATCAACACAATCAGTTTGAGGTGGTTAATGAATTAAATGATTAATGGATAGTTTGAAATGTATTGGACACACATTCAGTGCTTCTCCCCCTGGAGACACAAAAGGCCTCACACAACCTTCTCCACGTGTTGGAGGACAACACATCCCTCCTGTAGCTTCCCTGCAGGAATACGAGAGAGCTGTGAGGGAACATTTGATCTGCTGCAAGTTCTTGATTTCATCTCTCACGCAAGAGGAAGGAAAACAAAAACAGGGCATTCAGAGACAGAGAGGGAGGGAGAGAGGGGGGGAGAGGGGGGGAGAGCTTTTAATTTCCTGGCGCTGGGGGAGATGAAGGCTGCAGAATGACGGATCGCAGCGCCGTCACACCGCGGGACGAGAGGCTTTTTTCCCGTTCCCCCGGAAGGAGCCGGCCCCACTGGAGGGTGGGGGGGGGGGGATTTTTCCTTTTTCTCACCTGTCATTTAAAAAGACCCCGTTCCTGTGGATCTGGTTCTCCAGGGTGAAGTTGAAGGTGAAGTCCTCCAGGCGCTCGTTGCTGTGGATCTTCACCCTGGAGGCGTACTCGTCGGCCTGGAGGTGCTTGATGACGTCGGGGAACCACACAGAGAGTCCGTAGTACCTGTTAATCAGAAAAGGGAGACGCTTCGTCTTAATTAAGCGTCAAACTAAACGTTTGGGATCTTGGGGGAGAATTAATGATGATGATTACAGTTTATTGTTACAACTGTTTGCTAAAATAAAATGTGTCAAAACATCAGTTTTGTGTGGTTGTTTTTCAGTTGGATAAATATAAAGAAGTCTGGTTAGATTTGTCCCCAAAAAAGCCCCAAACTTGTATTTGAATCCATTGAACACCATCATCTTAATGTTGTGCCGTTTAACCAGTAACGTATTTACACATAATGAATCACAAAGGTTCTCTTTTTATGGCAGACACACATTAGTTGCAGACCTTTTAGCTTCGTCATGACATTTTCAGGGCAGAGGCCCAGATGTGGACCAGGGTCCAATTAACTGTGTGCCTGTCAGCAGAGGGTCACATGGGTCGGGGTGGTGCTGTAATTGGCTGAGGGTGGTGTCAGAGGTGAAGCTAGTTTATAATCGAGGCGTGAGGTGAAGCACAAACGGAGAGAGGACGAGATGCTTCGAGAACAAATTATTTTAAAAAAAACTGATTCAGCACAAAATGAACCGTGTTCCTCGTAATAAACCAGCTTGAGTCTATTTTCATTCTCAAGACTCGTCGTTCGTTAAAGTTGCCTCCTATCAGATCGGGTTCTCATTCCAGTCCGACCCGTCCGCATTCATCAGCAGGACTCAAGTGACGGAACATCTGCTGCAGAGGTTCTCTCACCCGAAGGACAGCGTGAACCAGACCGCAGCCAGCTTCAGGCTGTTGTCTCTCACGGGGTAGTCGAAGCACCTCATGAACGTCGACCAGATCTGTGATCAAAGGGGGAAAATACTTTCACTTTTAATCGAAATATTCTCAAGAGAAAAACGGGAATAAAAGAAACCCGGGCGGGTTGAAAACAGACAAGCGGCGCACCGCTCGGAGCTCGGTCCGGATCTTCAGGAGGACCTTGAGCGCCGCGTTGGCCGACTCGTTGTGCATCTCCACCAGCTCGTCCAGCTGCTTGGGCACCTTGATCCTGTTCACCTGCAGGGGGCGACACCGCCCCGTCAGAGGAATGACTGGGGGGGGGATGATGATGAGGAGGAGAGGGGGGGGGGTACTCACAGTGAAGACTCTCTCCGGCTCCCCGCGGGCTCGCATGTTGGTGTCGTGGATGTGCTTGAGCACCATCCAGGCCTCGTCGTGTTTACCCGTCTGAGGGACACGGACACACGTCAGGGCCTCATCCAGATGTGGCTTTGTTTAAATTTACATCGTCGTGTTTGCGTTCATATTTCTGAGCAAATAAAACCTATTTGTAGCTCATTTCTGGCCTGAGTCACGTGCGGCCTGCGGCATTCTGGGACACAACTTGTGTATTTGGTATGAAAGTATTCTCTTCCCTGTTTGGAAGTAAAGCCAACAGCTGAAGACTAGAGACGGACCTTTGTGTCCCTGCGGAGGAGGACGGACTTTCATTGAGAATGAGCTGCACGGTTGTGTTTTACTGGGCCACCCCGGAGGAAATAAGGGACAAAGTGTCCTCCTCTTGTGTGTACAGTCATCTTTTGCTTTTTGCCCCGGGAGGGAAGGCAGAATAAAATGAAAATAAATGTGGTCCCGTCGTTAAAATAAACTACTTACTCCTGCAGCAGCACCTGTGGTGTCTTTTAAAAACCCACGAGGGTCTCGCATCGTTAGGTGCGTGACACGGAAATCAATCAGGCCCCGAGTTACTGTGATCCAGAATAATAACAGAAAAGGTGTGATTCTCAGGTCAATCGAACAATAAATCTAAATCTGTCACCTCAAGCAGAAACTTTCAAAAGTTAAAAATGCAATTCATGACTCAGCATCCAATGTAGTTTTTTTAACGAAAGTAAGAAAATACGGGATCCGTTTTAGATACTTAGATCAGGGGTACATAAGAGTGCCCCGGGATGCCCCCCCCCCCCCCCCTCTTACCTCCAGGAAGAAGCGAGGGCTCTCGGGCATGAAAGTCAGAGCCACCACTGCAGACACACACGGCAGCGCGCACACCACCACGAACACCCTCCAGCTGTGGAACTGGTACGCCGAACCCATGCTGAAGCTCCAGCCTGCGCCGAGCACACAAACACATGGGACCACAGCGCCGGTTCACTGGGTGAAAGTCTTCTGTGTTTGTCTGATGCATCGTGTGCGTGTGTGTGTGTGTGTGTGTGTGCGTGTGTGCGTGTGGTGCTGCTCCGGCCCTGAACCAGTGCAAACTTCATTAGAGGGATTATGGCTTTAATGGAGTGCAGGAGACGGCCGGCTGATTCCGATACTCAGCAAGATTTATGTACCTATTCTTCAGTAAGTGAGCACGGCTGAGACACACACACACACACACGTTGTCCTTGGCCATTGTTCAACACACACACACACACACACACACACACACACACACACGCGCACACACACATTTTAAGGCAACGGTGTGTTAGTGAAAACACAGAAAGGCAAACTGACAAATCCAGCTTTCATCTCACAGGACGTCACGCACGAAATGAAATAAAACACAGTTTTTGTTGTTAAAATCCGAATAATAGAATGACACACACACACACACAGATTTCTGGCCTTTGCCTATCGGTCGATGCGGTGAGCACTGCGGCAGAACCTCCTGGCAACACGCCGCCGCGTCTTAAAAGAACACGTTCTGGCGTCTAATCAATCGGCATCGATTATGCGACGAGTCTGAATATGGATCTTTAGACACATCCCTAAAAAAAGGGACAAATGTGCGTGACAAGATAAAAAAATCCTGTCCCTTCAGGCCGGTTGCGTTGTGTCATTGAGTATTCTGCGTGCACCAGCAGCACAATGACGCAGCAGAAGTCGACTCTTTCTTAATGACAATAACGTGAGTTTGTTGTTTGCCATGTGAACAGACACATCTTAGGATGTATTTCCTAGTGTTTGCAGCCCACAGCATTCTGGGACATGTAGTATTAACCTGCAGTTTATGTCCTTTAAAGCTGCATTCTCTTTAGTGACCAGCAGGGGGCGACTCCTCTGCTCCCATAGACGTCTATGAGGAAATGACTCTACTTCTCTCTTGATTTATTCCCTCAGTAAACATTGTAAACATGAGTTTATGGTCTCAGTCTCTAGTTTCAAGTCTTCTTTAAAACAGAATGATGTTCATTTAGTAAATTATGGTCCGTTTAGAGTCAAACAGACCAGCAGTGGATGGTGGATGGTAATTTTATCTATGGTGACATGGCTTTGTATTGTGTTGTGTGCCTATTCACTTATTTACCAAGTAAAAGTGTATTTACATCCGATTTCAACTCAAACACGAATGTCAAGTGAACGGAAGGAAGCAGATGTTTGGCTCCGTCCGGTTGATTTAGAAGAAGAAGAAGCAGCAGTTATATTACAATCTTCATTTTCTCTGCACAACAGCCGCGTTTGAAGTGAGTGAACGCGGTGTTCTGCACGATGAGAACTCTACGAGAGGCCTAATCCCAGCAGACAGAGGCTTTTTTCCTGCAGAGAACGT